ATGGTAGCAGAGACCTAAGTCAGGACTCGGGTCTTTGCCACCAAAAAGTCCTCAGCTTTTGCAAAAATATCTCAAGACACTTTGGCATTCCTTGTCCTGTTCTGGTATGTCCCCCCATGCTGAAGCCAGCAGGTTTTCCCTCACTACCCCACAGAGCTCCGGAGCTGCTGCAGCCAAAGCAGCAGATCCTCATGGATTTGCCATAGTTTCTTAGCATCTCCTCGATGCTCTTCACCCCAGTACTGTGGGGACAAAGCCTGACCTGGCCACGGCCCATTCCTCATAGCCAATTTTGGAGAGATGCTGACTTGAGCTGCCCTCTCGTTCCAGCACCCATGGAGCAGCCCCACGTTGCCCCCTGCACACACCCTGCTTGGCCTCAGCATCCCTCTTGGCATTTTGGCAGAAGCTGTCCCCGGGCGAGGTGCCTCCGTGAACACCCAAGGTAGGTGAGGGGTGCTGGGGCAGCCGTGGCTCTGTGGCCTTTCCCCTCTCACCTCCAAGTCTCCATCAAGCAGTTTGGGACACAAGCGGGTAGTTCCCCTCTAAGCCCAGCTCCCTTGCCAGCAGCCCCATGCCAGGTTTTACCACCCCAGTCTGAGTATTAAGAATATTTTCCCCATGGAGCAATAAACCAGCCCACGGCTTAACAACCAGCAGTGCCAAGTGGATGCTGTGCCCTACGGCTTCCCTGGAAGTGCCCCACATGACCCGGGAGGCTGGGGCTGACTTCAGGCTGCAGGATTACTTTGCTTCCACTTCTCTGTCCATCGGAGCACTACAACGCTTTGCCTCTTGTCCCTGTTGCGTTACTGGGCGCTGTGTAGAACAGCCTCCATCCTGGAAGCGATGCCATCTCCGGGAGCAGAGATGGACACTCAACCAGACCTTCACAGCTCCTTGGATGGGGGGGATCTGTCACGTCCTTCTGCTTTGCTTTCACAGGAACCCAGACCCTCACAGATCCAAGTGCAGGAGTGACAGACTCGAGCCAACAGACAGAGTAAGCCAGGCCCCCCTCCCTCCCCAGGCTGTCAGTCTGGGTACCTGCAGGGCAGCAGCCTCCGATGCCGGAGCCCAGACACATTTCACCTCGGCACAGGCTTCTGGTGTCCAGATACCCACACTGTGCTGGGGGAGAGGCTGTGTCCAGAGCCGCGGCTGCTGCAGACTCCCAGATCTAACCCCCTTAGTAACACACTTTCTTTTTTATTTTAGCTGTGGAATAGCGGTTTTTAATAAGGTAAGTGAAACAGATAATAACTAGCCCTGAACTCCTAGAATTTCTGACCAGAACATTAGTGCTAAACTTCTGTGGTTTCAAAAACGAAGATGCTGCTACTCTAGGAGAGAAAGGCTCTTCTGCCCCACGGACATCTGCTGTTCCCACTCCGTAACTGCCCTGATTCGGTACGCTACAGGGCAAAGCTGCCCTAACTCCAGTGCTGTGAGGTGCTGCAGAAGGTGTTTTCCCTTCCTTGGAAAACCAACCAAACCAAGCAGCAGGCTCCCTCCCTCCACCCAGACATAGGCTGTTACCTTCAGTTTTATTTCAGAATATTTGGATTTTGTAGCCAGTTCATAAAATGTTTATAAACTGAACCAATCTCATGCTTTTTTCAATGTTTGCCCTTTCCCTTTCAGGAAATGGTGCAGCTGTCCAACTACCTGAAGGTAGGTACCAACCCTTGTACCAACCCATGCGGAAAGTGGGGCTTCAGTCAGTAACCACCACCTTTAAAATGATAATTATTATCTATCTGATAAAGAGGTGTTACATACCCAATTTCAGCGTGGCCAAGAACGCCTACAGATAAACCACACAGACCTGTCTGAAGCCGCCTGGGGGGCAGAAGCCCTGACCCAGAGCGGGGAGCCGGGCTGTCCCCCTGGCTTGGGGGTCCCTGCTGACCGCTCTCCCCTTCCCCGCAGGAGGCCCTGCACCGTGAGCTGCTGCTCAAGCAGAAGATGGTGATTCTGCAGGAGCTTTTCTCCACGCTGCTGCGAGCGTCGGAAAAATCCTGGCAGGTACCAGAGAGCGGCAGGGGGGGGTTCCTGCTTTTTTTTTTCTGCCATGGTGGGACCCAGCTCGTGAGCAGGAGCACCCCACAGGTCTAGCTCCCCTCGTAGGAGCCAAGCTCTGCCCGGCTTCTGTGCTTTACAGGCGTGGAGATGCCACGGGGCCAGCGCGCAGTGCGGTCACCTCACAGACGTGGCACGAGCCTCTCACCTGCGAGTAGCTGCCTTCCCTTCTTTTCTCCTTGTGCCTTTCTTTTTAGGGAGGGTCAAGCACTTTGAAGTTTTTCCCTTCTTATGCCCCAAAAGGCTGTTACAAAATGTGCTTTGCTTTCAGATCAACAGGAAGTGTAAAACCCTCTCCTCCTGTAAGGTTTTGAAGGGTTTTCCATACCTGTCTTTCCCACTTTTTCTTAAATAAAAAGCAAACAGAAGTGTGTAAGTGGGGAAAGAAATGGAAGAAACCCAAACAACCACCTTCCTCCAAGTTCTCTTTCCTAGTAAAAACAAGTTTCAAATACTCTGAAACAATTTTTTTTTTTTTTGGCCAAAATAACGATTTTAGATGTACCAAACTGGTGCCCCAGCCTGCCCCAGTTCCTTCTGGGGATATATTCTGAGCCCCAAGCACAGGGCAGAGGACCCAGTGCCCTGGCACAGGCACACTGCTGCATCCTGGCCCTGCCTCAAACTATTTCCCCACAGGGCAAACAAAATCCTCTGGGCAGCACTGAACCAGGGCCTATTCTTTTTTTTTTTTTGCTATCAGGAGGTAAAATTACGGTGATGCATTTTACACAGCATATGAAATAGTTTATAGAGGATTATTATAACAAATATTAATTTACAGTTCATTGTGCTATTTTAAAAAAAAGTGGTTTGAAAGTTCTGTTGGAGCAGAAAAGTGAGTGATTGGGTGAGATGGTATAAAAAAACCTCATGTTAGATGTTCTGCGGTTAGAAACTTCCTCCTTCACTTGCTGCTTCAAATAATACGAGCAGGAAAAAACACCCTGACACACTCCACAGGAAGTAGCCACGAAACCTCAGGTTAGAAACAGGTGGGTGCCCTTTGCTTCTTGCTATCTCTGCTGCAGGAGAGACCTCGCTGCTGCCTCTCACCCTCAGCCTTCCATCAGACTAAAAATTAACTCGCCGCTGGCACTGGAGCCAACGGGGCAAACACGGCGGATGCTGCCTGCTTGGAGGGGATCCCCTGGGAGGCAGGCGGGGGGCAAGGGGCTTCTCCGGGAAGTGCTGGCAAAGGGAGGGACAGACAGGCTTGACACAGTGATGCTGTGCCATGGAAAGTGGTGGTTGGTTGTCCATTCCCAGGCTCAGGTGAGATGCCAAATGCTTGTTGCAGAAGTTTTTTAGTTCTTCCCAGTGTTTTGGGTTTTGAAGAGATGCTACGGCCGTATTGTTCGTGTCTATGCAGTAACTCCTGAAACAGCCACAGAGTCATCTTTGAGATGCTGGTCGTGTTTGTGGGTGCTGCTGGTTTGATGGAGCAAGCAAATTGCTCATCAGGAGGATGGGGGTGTTGTTAAACCGAAGGGATAAAGCCTGTGGTTCCTTCCCTCTCCCACAGTTTTACTTTTAGGTTGAAGAGACCTTCCTACCACCGGTCTGCACCTTAAATCCCCCATCTGTTGTAAAACTTGCTTTGTTGATTCAAAAATGCTGCCAGATGAAGCAAGCTAGGTACATCTCAGTTTTAATTAAGAGTAATTAGTTCTGAGATGTTCTCTTCAAAAAGAAAATTACTACCTGAATACGATTTTCTCTCCCTCGTAACCTCTGAAGTTGAGCTTGACTTTTGCAAGTATCTTACAGCCCTGGAGAGTTTAAGCTCTCTGCCATTTCCAGTACATTTTTACTGCTACAGACCCATTTTTCTAGCCAAACATTGTGTTTGGGCAAATTGGAAGCCTTCAAGAAACAGCATTTACCATTGTTGCTTTACACCAGCTATTTAAAATTACAAAGGGAAGGAGCATCTGAGAATTCACCAATCATAGGACAACAAGACACTGCAGCGCTCAGCCAAAATCAGTTTAAGTCAGAGCGACGGTGGTAGAGAAACACCAAAGTGTTTGAGAAAGGTTTTGGAGCTCCCCATCCTGGTAACCTCAAACTCTGAGGGCTGCACAGGATTCAAATTCGGTATTTGCAAGAGCAGGCGTATTTTGGGCACGTTAGCCCTAACCCTATATACCCCGATAGGAGGTTTTTGTTGGTTTGTTTAGTTGTGGGTGGGGGTTTTGGTTCGTTGGTTTTGGGGAGGTGGTTGGTTCTGTTTAAAGCAGCCCCTAGATAATCTTCAACACAAGGGCACGACCAAGACTTGCTCACTTAACTTTTCTGGTCAGAAACATGATTTTTTACACCCTCCCATGTAGGTGCACATCACCCTCACTGCCACGCTGTTCTGGTAGCTGTCTGCTGGGGCTGTTATTCCATTTAGGGATTTTTTTTTTTTTTACTCATTAGCCTTTTGCAAATTTATAAGCTGCGACTCCACAAAAAGCAGCTTGCCAGCACATTTCTGCTCTCAAGCGTAGGAAGGGCCTGGTGCTCTGTTGCCTTGTACTTTGCACGGTCATTTACATCCGTGCACAGCGGCTGTACCACCGCCCTCCAACATGAACCTTGGCAGACAGTAGAACAAGATAAAGTGCAGAGGAAAAAACTAGGCATAACGTTTCACATATGAAAATGCTTTTTGAAATTCTAACTACTTTCTTAAGAGGATAGAGCCTTTTTACTTTGTACCAACAACTGGACTGGGAAGACTTAGTCTTTGGGACTGTGAACTTACTTCTGTTCAAATTTAAACAGTGCTAAGACACCAGCAAATCTAGTTTTGCTTGGGTCTAACAGCTATTCCTGTAACATCAAGGAGCTGATTTTCAGAAGCTTGACTTCAAACAGCAGTAAGCAGAGAAGATACTGATGTTTTCAGTATCAGTAGTGGAAAAACAGCCTACGTGAACTGTTTGCTGGAAATTTTAGCTCAATTTGCATGCAGTCTGGTTTCACAAAACCTAAGCAGCCTGACTAACACCAAGAGGAGACTGTAATAAGGAAAATGAATCATCACTGTTGCCCTCTATCCCCCTGCCCAACTGCTAGATGTTGCAACCCAGACCCAACCTATTTCCTAAGGGAACCAGCAAGACCAGACCTTAGCCCCAGCCAGAGGTTTAGGCAAGGAGGAACCATCAGCCAGGGAACAGGGACAGGCAGCGGCGATGCTTCTGCCAGACCCACCCAGACTAACCTGAAATCCCCTTGCTCTTAACCTCTCATCTCACTGCAAGTACCTGCACCCCATAACCAGTGGGACTGCCTCAGCAGAGTTTTCCAATGCACAGAAGTTTTACTTCCCCCCGATCCCATATGTCGGAGATTGGGAAGGCTTATTTGAGCTCTAAGCACTGAAAAGACTTTGGCCAAGTTTAGCCACAATATTGTAGAAAGAAGGGAGAAAGTGAATCAGAATTCAAGCTAACAAACCGTTGGAGGCATACTGTGTAGCCTGTGATCCCACACATCAGTGCAATTGGTTTTTCTCCCCAGGGTCAGCTGAATGAAGATAAACTGAAGTGTAAACTACAGGCTCTTGAAAATCAGCTGCAGGCCTGCACACAGGTAACATCAGATTGCTGAGACACAAACATCGGTGAAGAAAGGCATGAAAACAAAATACCGAACCTTGTAATTAGGTCGGGCCTCGGATTCTAGAGCAATCTGATTAGATGTGGATCTGAAAACGATTTTTCCTCTTTGCTGAAGCAACATTTCACAGCAAATTAGCAATAGCGTTTGCACACTCTGGATTTGCGCATATTCAGGCTTGGCAAGATGAGGAATATGTCAGATAAAACCCTTCAAGCACTTTAAATTCTTCCTTTAAAGAGTTACTCAAAGGAGTGTGTGAAGAAGATCCTGATAGAGATGGAGGACCAGAAGCAGACCTACGAGCAAAAGGCAAAAGAGGCTCTTCAGAAGATGCTGGAGGATAAACTTCAAACAGAGCAGCAGCTGCAAAACTCCCAGGTAAGCAACATATTTTACACCTGGCTTGGCTTTAATCTAGTCCTACTAGGGCAAAGAGCCTCCAGTTTCAGGGAAGGACCATGATAAGTTTACCATAAGTAACAAATACGCAAAAACGAGCCCCATTTTTTAGCTACGGAGCAAAAGTCCAAAGCAGCTTAACAGCAACCTGTGCTCATTTTGTGAGGCACACATCAGGTTGTTAAAACCAGCACGCAGTTGTGGAAACAGTGCTGTTCGGCAGTTTGAAGCATAATCCCTTCTCCCCATTCCCTGCTCCGCAAGCACAAACAAGCCACGCACACTGACATCCAGGCACAAGGTCTCCAGAGATGCTTTTTCATATGCAAAAAGATTTTCCCCAAGAGATATCCTGCAGGTCCAAACAAATTGCTAACTGGTATTTTCAGAACAATAAATGAGTTGTATCCCAAAGATTTCTAAATCCTGCTGGCAGCAGAGGAACTCGGGTTCCCCTGCCCATCAGAAGGCACCAGCCCCACGCAGGTCACTGTAACCCTGTGCAGGAGAAGGCAGCGCTGCTCCAGCCCCACGCACTGACCCACGGGTGGGAACAAATGCTGATGCTGTTCGGGGCAGCTTGGCGTGGTCCCACCAGGCCGTGGATCCTTACTCTCCTCCACAGAGAAGCCTGGAAGCAACGAGGGAGGACTTGACCTTCTGGAAAGAGCACTACACCACGCTCAAAGCTGAATTGACCAAGATAACCTCGGCGTACACCAAGCTCGAGAACGGCTTCCACATTTTGCAAAGTGAACTGCAGGTACGTTAGCTCCCCACAGGAAAAGCATCCAACCCACGGGAGTTCACGTTTTCCAATTTGCAAGCAGGGAAACCCCCAGGTTGGGTCACTACGTAATAAATCCCGTTCGATGAGGCACAGCAGTTAGACATACAACCTAGTTTCTCAGCTCGAGGCTGCCTTTCGTTGCCAGAAAGCTGGCCGACGCCGCGTGCCCGTGGTGCGGTGCCAGGCTGACGCCGGGGCTCTTCTCGCCCCCAGCGAGCAGACGCGCAGAAGGAGCAGCTGCAGGAAGCCCTGCGCAGCCTGCGGAGCGAGCACGCCGCGCTCCACCAGCGAGCCAGCGCCCTGCGGGACGACAACGACCTGAAGGCAGAGCACATCAGCACCATCGAAGGTATGGTGGGCAGGGGAACACTGGGGGAGTCTCTCTGCCCACTGAATGAGGATATAAGCAAAATACTCTTAAAATCCTGGTGCCTAGAGCCAAGCACTCACACGTGCCAAAGGCTCGCTCTCTCCAAATGATGGGGGTTGGAACTGGATGATCTTTAAGGTCCCTTCCAACCCAAACCATTCTGTGAAATGTGCCGCACACCTCAGCTTGCCAAGAAAGTGTCTGGTTTCCAAAGGGCCCCTAACTAGAGAAGTCCTGCACTTCCACTTGACAGGAGTCAAGTGACTTTTCTAGAAGAAAGGATGAAATGGGAGACCTAGAAAAAAAAAAATCAAAGCTGATGAGGACATCTGTATCCTTGTCACAGCAAGGCAAGCCCGCTCAGGTGGCAAGGCAGCACCCGTTACTGTCTGAGGTGCTGCTGCGTGGTGATGGATATCACCAGCAAATAAATACACGCTAAGAGCATCTTAAAGTTCTGATTCAGATAGAGGCAAGGAAATCCGCACCTACCTCACATGGCTATTTTAAAATGCAATTAAGAAAGAGTAGATGGGTGACCGTTATATTTTCATAATGGGTCTCACACGAACAGCTTTAAAATAAGCCATAGAATGTGGAAAAAGCTACCAAAACTGAAAGGGCAATTAACAGCTAAAAATCACATCCCTTTAGAGAAAGGAGTTCAGCGTAGCCAACAATATCCACTCTACTTTACACAGGGAAAGTTGCCATCCTTGCCTAAAGATGCAGAGACTTACATCAACCTTCATTTTCTTCTCATCGCTATTTCAGATAAACTGCAAAAAGAACAAAATCAGAAGGTAACACTGGAGGCAACAATCAGCCACCTGCACGGTAAGTGACACGAAGCACAGAGTAAGAGATCGGCATTAGCGCTGTGGACGGTGACAGTGGCTTTTCATGTTCGCAGACGTGATACAGAACCAGATCAAGGAACGGGAGTCCCAGGAGGTGACGGTGCAAAGGAAAGGTCAGCAAATTTTGTAACTCCCACCTAGCTGTCCTCCCCCTGGATGCAGGAACATTAGACCTGGCTCTAGAAGTCTACATTGGTTTAGAATAAAGGATTATTTTAAAGCTGCACAAAGCGAGTTATTATATTTTGCTAGTTACCATTAAGCGTAAGTGTATTTATGATGGCAAACACTTAAAAAAAATAAATGGATTTCATTGCAAATTCTACTTTAGTGGCTATGCCATTTTTTCTCAACCAAAACATCCTTCCCTTTCTGCCAACTAATTAGAAATATTCCTCTGAAGATGATTAACTTGTAGCTACAGCAGAGGCAGGCCCACAATAACTAACTCAGCTCCCGCATCCTCTGCTATGCGCATAGCACACAAATATTATCTTTAAACTGTGCTGAGTAAACAAGATCTAAAGCAAACCAAACGCCTGGACCTGTTTCTCATCAAGAGCCTGTTTTCTAGACCAGGTTTTCACCACGCAGACCCCACCTCTCACTCCTGCCAAGGAAAACCAAAACGCTCTGTTTGAGCGCCCTGAGGAGGAGGAGGGAGAAGAAAGTCTGAAGGATGAGATGCAGAAAAGGACATCCCAACTTGCAGCAAAGGAGAATGAGGTGAGGAAGTCACTGAATGACGGCTGGTGTAAGTGCTGCAGCAGCACAGCACAAAGCTCCTGGAAGCAACCTGTTTAGCATCTTCTGCAAGGATTCTCCCTGCTGAATTTTTGTCCCGATGCCAGGCTCAGCCAAACCCCAGTTACAGTGTTCATGCGCCTGGCTCCCAGGGCGGTAGCAGCAGAGCCCTCTCCATACGATCCCCTTTCTGCTCTCACAGACAGGGGAGCCTCAACAGTCCCTCAGGAAAAAGCCAAAGCCATACAGCTGAAACCCTGAGCACAAAGGAAAGGAGAAGAAAATAATTGCAGGTAACAGGAAAGGTCCAGCTAACAAAAGCAATGCCCTTACAACAGGGCTGCAAAAAACAATTTAGAGCTTCCTGACCTCTTACACACCCATCTGAGTGACTGATGCAGACACAAGACTGGTGACACAACCCGTACCCTCTGCCAACCGTCAGCTCTACAGCAGCACTTAGCAAGGATTCATAAAAAAGAATTTATCACTTACGGTGGCAGAGCTTAGGACCACACAGGAGAAGAGCTCGTCCTTCTGACCCACACGCATGAGAGCCCCACCACATCAGGCACACCCTAGTATCACCTGGGAAAGGGCTTTGTAAAGCACAATCACAGCAAGAGGGAACAGCTGGGGGGACCCTGCCACCCCCCACAGCAGCTCTCATGGCCTCTCGGCATGGGCAGCCTCCTCCCACAGCCACCGCTGGCCGGGGGGGGCAGCAGGTCCCATGCTCAGCAAACAGGCGCTCCCTGGGTTTTGGGGTTGCACAGCACAACCAAGGTGCTTGTCCTGTGTGTCCCACGTTTGGGGGGTTTAAAGGCCACTGTAACTGTTCCCGCAGTCAGTGGGAATTTCAGACTGAGAGGAAAAGCCTGCCACGAGTTTGCACTCCACGTCTTCTGACCTGCACACATCCATGGTCATAAAACATAACTATTGATTTTTTTTTCCCATGCGATGTGAAAGACGGCAGCGAAGCCAAGCAGGTCACGGGATGGGAACAGGCCAGGCACTGCCTGTATCGCCACGTTCCCCGTAACACCGCCATCTGCTCTGTCCCCTGCAGGTACATACGGACGTACAGGCAGCAGCTATGAACCCCCCCGGTCCCTGCAGTGCCTGCGCACGGGCGACACGCTGCAGCCGCTGCGGGAGCCCCGTCCGTCTCGGTGCGTACGCGAGCGAGGGGATCCCTCCCGCTAACGGCCCCTCGCTCTGCTTGCAGTGCAGGGAGCTGCGCTCAGAGCTGGAGGCCCTGAGCGACGAGTACCGCTCCTGCCTGACCAGGCTGCGCCAGTGCCGGGACGAGCTCAACCGCTTCCAGAGCAAGCAGGCAAAGGTGGGAGGCCTTCCTCACCCCAGCTGGGTCTGGGAAACATCCCCCTTTATTTGTGCGCTGTGGAAAGATGACTGACACGTTTGCTAGTGATAAGTTTCTTCTCCCACACCGATTTCCCAGTAACGATTGCTTCTCCTTGCAGAGACGGCGCAGTCACTGGATCCCTCTCCTGGTGGCAGTGCTAGCAGTGGCCATAGCCACCTTCCTTGCCGGTTGCAGACCATGAAGGACCTTCTCCGCGACTGACTTTCACTGCGAGAACTGACTTCTGCTTCACCGACAGCAACATGCCCTGACCGCAGCGCACCTTCTGCTGTTCCGTAGTTGCCCATTTGGGTCATTCCCTGAGCTGGTCTCACTCCAGACAAACTCCCGTGGCTCCAATGAATGCTGGGAGATCACCCTTCCCTTGGCTGCTTTGGTTACCCTGCTCCAGTTGAAGGTTGCTGCCCGGTCCCCGGGGCACTGAGGGACACAGCCACTCCAACCACCACTGCTGAGGCTCACGCAGGGCGGGAGGGACAGGGCATCCCATGTCCTTGGGATCCAGCCTCCCTGGTTTTCATGCCCAGCGGCTGAGAGGACGACAAAATTCCTTTATTTATTGGCTCCCTAGAAGGGAGGTGTTTGACCTTGGACCATCTCTATGGATACCTGACAGTAACCCAGCTCAGGGAGGCTTTTTAGCACAGTCCCCTCATACTCCCCCCTGTGCACTGCCTGTCCTGAGCCATTTTCCCACCTCCTGCCCACCGGGCCCAGTTTGGCCCACTGGTCTTTGAGCCTGCCTCACGACCAAGCGTCCCCGCAGCCACATCCACCCCCCCTTCATTGCCAGCACATTAATTAAGAGACAGGGGTTTTAAGCCCCTTTTGGGGGCTTTTATCATAGCACTCGCTCTTTATTCAAGCCTCAGCTACGAGGCCGTGTGTGACACCACCCTGCACAAGTAGTAAATATGATAGAGCCTACAATAAACTTCACAAATTCAAAATACTGTGGTGCTCAAATCTTTTAATCCTCAGCTGTTCACAGCAAATAAACATCCCCTGATTTTACACGGCACACTGCAGTCTGGATGGAGGCTGCAAGGCAGCTGTGAGCACGTACATCCGCACACCGGTCCTCTGGGAACTGGCCGTATTTGATTTGCAACGGGCCTACAAGGTCTGGGCCCCGAGATCGTCACAGTTCAGCCCGTGGTGCTCAGGGGCCTCAGTGGCTGCATGCACAGGAACCGGATCTCTTGCCTCAGTCACTGATGCAAGTGAGAAATAGGCCAAAAAGTCTGAGTTTGTTTGTTTTACAAGGCAACTGCTGGAAGCGACACCACCTCGCTTGAAATGCGGAGATCTACAAAGTCACTCTGTGCACCGAAGGCCTCCTTCAGGTCACCACACCAGGCATCCAGCACCTCCTTCAGCTCTGCGCAGAGGCTCTCTGGGATGCTGAAGGAGTAGATCTGGACCCGGAGGCCATCCCTTATCCTGGGGCAGGAGGCCTGGACCGTGAACACCCTCAGCGGCATCAGCGCCAGGCAGTTCTCGGCACCCTCCTCCATGGAGAAGGTGTACGCCGCCGGGTAGCCCAGCAGCACCCCGACGATGGTGCAGAGGTTCCAGCCCGTGGGGACAACCACGCTGGAAGACACCGGGCCGGTGGCCGTCGCCTCGGTGGCCCCTAGGTGGGCAAGGAGATCGGCGAGGTGGCCCCTGATGGCCTCAGCCGCC